AAACCACTTGAAATAATTAAGAAACAATTAGAGATTTGAAATCAGCATGATGAAAAATAGATTAGGTAGTGAAGTTGGGTAAGATTGAGAAAAAATTAAAAAAAAAATTTTAGAACCCACGTCGCCCTTAAGGTACTGTACAGAAAGTCTATGTAATGCCCATTCGGGCCTTTAGGGTATTTAAATAAAAAAAATAAAAAGAGGCGGTCTTAAGAACGACCATATGAAAGGTACAGCAAAACCAACGAGTCTCACAGTCACAACATAACCGCAGTGCATCAAAAGCGATCCGCGATGCCACCAGCTTGTACTAAAGATCAGGGTGTAAAAGTTAGGAACCAACAATGTCGACAAGAATTTCATCAAGATAGCCATTCTGCGAGAAATAAACTCCGAGCGAGGCGACACCGACACGCGAGGCGTTCCTGCTCTTGTCCAATTCTTGTATGCGTTCTTTTGCATTTACTTATCTCGCTTTCAATATTTTGTGTAAGCGAGTACCCACTTGCCGAAACATTCACGCTATAAGACGCTGCTCATACTCACAGCACAAGCAGTCCCATTGCGAAGGGGCTGGTATTCTGGTTGACGACCAGGACACCTTGCGCTGCACGTGGATGCAACTTTTTTCTAGAAACGGAAACAAAGCGCTAGTTTAAATCGCTAATTACCGAACCTTACTTACTATATATTCGCGGGTGTTTGCCTAGATAACTACAAGGGAAATTTTTTCTACTGCGACCACAAGCGTAATACTAATTTTATAACGGCTAAAAATCAAAACTTGGGGGCTAAAGTCGTGTAGAAACGTGAAAATAAACTGCAACTTAGGAAGTTACATCAAGATGCTGCTTTGACTCGCTATAAAAGCACTGATTACTTGCACAATAGAATTGGTAGTGTTTCATCAAGGTACACCAATCGCGCGAGCGAAGCCCAAGCACAAAAAACTACGGTGTGCTTAAGCATGGCAACGTAACAACTCGACTTCTTAAGTAGTATTCCAGTGAGACTATGGCAAAGCTACATTTTTACATGTTTATAAGGCCTCGTGAATTCTTACACCTTTAATCAGTCTTCTTGTGAATCCCCACTCGTGTTAGCCTGAAATTATCAGCACCAATCAATGAGCCTCTTGACCTCTTTATGAGCGACGCTTTTTTTTCTAGCAATGACATCAAATTTGATAACAAATAAACTTTTGCTGTGAACATCACTTTTGATTTTAGGCATTTACTTATTTTTTGTTTTTTGAACATCTATTTGGCAGCATATGTGTTTATCTCTGCTCTTCTGTCTCCGCATGTCTTTTGTCTCCCGGGCATCATCTTTTTTTGCCATGGACCATGGTGAGCTTAATTGTTCTTCCAGAGTTCAAGAACCTTCTAACTTGCCACAATACAGACATAGTTATACTGACATATTCGAAGAGTAGATACTGACCGTGTAGTTCACAGATGCCAACAAATGGTCACACTTTTCTTCCGGGACATGTATCTTCAGCAAAGGAACGGCAGGGGCTTCATAAAAACAAATAATAATTATGACAATATTCTTGCATGAATATTCATACAAAGCGTAAAACTTCCTCCCGCTCTATTACCCTTCAGCCGTTCTGTCACTTCAATTACCGTTTATTCTTGCAACCCACTTATTCACTTTTGCAGGGCACAGCTTCTAAATCATTTCTTAATTCAAAAAATTTCTTTGGGTGGCGAAGATTAAAATTTCTCGGACTCTCAGAGTCGATGGTGCCAACGTTTAGGCCAATGGTATTGGCAAACTCAACGGAGGAATCGCCTCTCTAGCGTGCATGTGGACGTTTTAAGGGCAAAACACTTCACGAGGCTAAACTGTCGCATGCTGTCGACTTCGTTTGGCGTAACAAATACCAAATCACGTACACTCAAACCTCATTCTGACGAAGTTGCATCTTACTTGAAATAAGTTTGTCATATCCGAACATTCGTTATAAAATTAGATTTGTAAATCTATATGTATTCCAAAATTATTTTTCATTTACTTTCTTATAACCAATCTTTTGTTATATCCAGGCTCGTTATACCAATGTTTGAGGGTATAGCGTAGCCAGCTGTGAGCATGCGCGCGCGCCATACAGAAGTATTTTTCTCTTGCTCTTCGAGCATCTTGATGACGATATTAGGTGCGAAAATTACTAATACTGTAAAGGACACACGAAAACATGAGCCACGTATGAAAATTTAAACAGGAAGCAAGCGAGAAATAAAAATAGAGAGAAATAATATGGTAAAAATGAAATTGACAGAATTGAAGAGAAAAAAACACAGAAGACCTAAAAAGTAGGGCACGAAAGACAGCAGGAAAGAAACCTTTAGTTTCCTTTTATTTTAATTTTGTTATCCTTTGCTATCCGTCTATACATTTTTCTATCTATTTACGTTTAGTGAATCTCTTTTCTTACCGTCTTATATTTGTTTCTCGAATGTTAGACGACATATGCGAGAAAAATTTCAAAGGCTCCATATTGTTTTCACAAGGTTTATCACTCACATCGGTCTCGAAAATCTGCATTCCACTTTGTCCATACTAGTCATTATAGCATCTTTAAAAAGTTCAATATTATGCACCAACAACTTCACTAAATTCGACTCTCCGTCACCTGCAGCTCATAAACTGTTGTCAATTCGTGCTACCTAGCTTAGAGAGAATATTGGCGGTAAAAATGTTTCGGCGCTGGTTTGTTTATCGGCTTTGCTTTGTCATGTTGTTATTTCAGTTATTTGTAGTGAGACCAACGCCGCCTGTAGACAGCCATATTTGTGTGCTCAAAAATTAACATCTAATCCGGCTCCTCTTAACAGTGGTCAGCATGATCGAAAAATGGTGCTCGAAAATTGCTCATGTAGCCAATTGGCATACCACGGCTCCCAGAAGGCCGAATGAGAGATTAAGCATATGGTATCAACGCGTAGCTGCTCGTTCTAACCGCATCATGATCTTTGGTAATCAGAAAGACACACCGTTATATTCACATCGCAAATGAACAAAACAAAGAGATGTCGTGCGAATGACACCTTATAAGCTTATCTTGTATGTGTCTTCTGCAATATCCCATCCCGTGAATCAGTGAATATGAAGAAGACGTTCTTCTATACTTACGAGTTACGATGCAGATGCCATGCTTACAAATTCCATCGACAATAACGTTTTCAACACCAGGGACGCGGATCTTTCGCTGATAATTAAGCTGAAATTCATATATTGAATCAAACAGTCAGCATACGAAATGCATGTAAACAAATGCACTATAACAAATCGGCACCAAATAACCTCACAACATAAGGCCACTGTACGGCTTTACACTTCTTTCTAAGCAACTTCTTTTTAATTGGTGATGAACCTTAAGTCCACGCAGCACTTAATCGTTTCTAGCGCTTCATAGTTAGTACACGTTGTATTCTCTCGAAGTTGGCTTTCGGCTTTATGACAAGAAGCAGCTGACAGGTTACTGAAGGCGCCGAAGCATTTAGTGCGACGAGGGTGGTTTCATGCATGATTAAAAAATAAGCATTCCTCGGGCATGTAACTGTCCTGGCCACTTGTCAAGCACACTATTTTGTGTCTCACTTCATGTATTATTTGACTTAATTTAATCACCTGTCTCTGAAAACATGACATTGTATTCGCTTTATTACCTAAAACTTTCCTTATCTGGTAAAGATACACTAATAATATTTGTAACACACCATTTCCGAAGAGGTGGAAGCGTAGAGTACTCACCCAACACCTTGTGCCTGCTGGCAGTCTTTTCATTCTTCCAGAGGTTTTGCAACGTGTGGTGCAATTATCAGCCAAGCCACTGTTGAATGAGTGTGTAACGACATCAAACACGTACGAAGGGAATCTCAATGCCGTAACTCTCGTACCTGCTTACTATTGTTCTCAATTCGCAAAAACTGAACGTCCTTGAACGCACGATGAAACTATATATTGCTAACCACTGTGTACCGTGATAGCGGTTCCATCGTGGAAAAGTAATTGTGAATGTTAATAATTGCGAAGCATGTGCAAAGAAACATGGCAAGGATGAGATTCTTTAATATGAATGCAGGGCAGTTGAAGAATTCGGGTGGTTCTCTATTGCCTGAAACGATCTGGGGTCATATATAATATCACAGCTGAGAAAATCCGGATCACTTAAGATACGGGGAAGGTGAGGGCTCCAGGGGACCTTATATGAAGTGTAACGTCGTAACGCCAAGATCTCACCCGTCTCTTATAAATTTATTTCCATTTGAGCACAAAAGCCTTAAAGAGCTAGTTTCAGTCAAATTATGATGTCGTTGTCGGGAACAGCATCTTTGGTTGAAAAAGCAGCTTTGACCATCCGCGAAAATTTGAGGTTGATACAAACAAAAACACGAGCAAGAGGGTGTCAACACTGCGTCCTTCCTCGCGTTACAGTTTAGTCATGAAAGGGCTGTTAAAGAGGCTCGAAATCATTATATTCACCATAGACATGGCCTATACCGTAGGCCGTGCCTACAGTAAGGGCCTACACTAGGGGTGCTATAGGCTCAGAATATCGGCACGGCCTATAGGCAATATCAGTGGTATAGAAGTTCTTCTGTGTCTGTTGTGTAATTTCCATACTGCGTCACAATACTTACAACGCCACTTCTTTTGGTGAACTTTGCCGGACAGTCGTCAGGTGGATTTAGTGGTTTCACGTCTGAAATGAAGAGATTTGCTTGAAGCATGCATTAACTTCAAGTCAATCTTGATGTGGTTGATCAAAAGTATAGTGGGAACTGTCAAAAGCTTTAGTTTTGCTCGGCTGCGCAGTGTACGTGCTTAGCATTGTTGTGGGCATGCAAACAGGGCTCAAAACATTACCTTCATAAAAGTGTGAACATGTCTGCCTTCTTAACGCGAGAATGTCAAAGAGCTCGTTTCCCGAAAATTCCGACATTGGCGTTGGTGTCATCGTCGTTGGTTGTGAGCGAAAAATTATCTTACGGGTTATTGAAAAATTGAAAACGATGTAAATAAAATAAATGATTAATATCCTGGGTGAACGCTACCACACAGTTGCGTGTTAGCCTAGAATACATGTGAAAATAAGTTCGTCTACGGCTTAAAAATACAGTGAAAGTAACATGAGCTTTATAAACACACGCGTCCTCTACACATGCTTCACAATACAACACAAATTTTTGCAGTAATAATGAGCAGTACAAGCGCCAAGTATCATAGGATGTCAGAACAAGGTATAATCATATTGGCTGGGTGTTTTGAAACCGATTACCTGCTACAAAACTACACACGGTACTGCGCCTGTTTCCTTAAGGCTACGTAGTTGGCGCATGATAAGTTCGAAAAGTTTTCATGCACGAAGTGGTTGAAGTACGCACTAGGAACTGATTATCACTATCGCATTCAACTATTGAAAGCGAAGCTTTGGGCACCCCTAATTCTATTTGTTTCGGCCTAAATACAGGAGCTGAGTTTCTGCTCTGACTCTATGGTTAATATGTTACCGAAACAAACAATCAGAATGGCATACATTTACATACCGCTTCGCTTGTGCCTTGTAGACCAAGCAAAGTGGTAAGGCTGACGCCGAAGAAAGAAAAAGCGCAGTCGCACTCATTGATTGAAGCTGCGAAAGCGACAACAATCTGATTATTGAGGGCAATACAAATTTCAGCTTTCTTGGTGAATATGATGCTCCCCCCAGTGGAGCGACGTCTTCATATGGCTCGCTCAGCTCCTCTGTACATTTTATGGGCGAAGCTCCTCTAGAAGGGGCTCGGTCTCCGGTTGGCGTAGCCGCTATTCTTTATTGCAACCGTGAGAGATGGAGCTACCGCATAATTCAAAGGGCGCCCACTCGATGTCGTGGCACACACTTGCGCTCCCCGGCTCCACACTCTGCTGCACACTCGGCACGCACGCTAGCTTCTCATCATGACGCGGGATCGCAAGGTGGCAGCAGCGTGGGCTCGCGACCAAAACCCTGTGGTGAGAGCCCGGGAGGCCCAAGAGAAGAGGGCTCGTCGGTAAGTGGACCCGGCACTGAGGGCCAGCGAAGTATAGGTGTCACGCAAGCGGCTCAAGTGGACCCCGGACTGAGGTCCCGGGTGGGCCAAGAGAGATAGAGGCGGCTACAAGCGCACTTCAAAGTACGAGCACGGGGTTCAGTGACCAAGCGCCTGAAGCGGTCGCTACCGGAGACAGAAGGCGCCGATGTGGGATTCAAGCGTGATTTCCTAGACTACAGCTACAGCTGCAAATTATGCGATCGCTCGTGGATTGATAATGACCTGACCACCATGTCATCCTATATACAACTCTTGTGTATAGAATTGCATTGATGTGTAAATAAAAAATGTGTATATGAGTCAATATACAATCACCTTGTAACAACGTGTCGCGTCTTCAACGATGTGGGGGGTGCACGTTTTATGGTTTATAGATAAGTGTTGGAGCTTCGGGTTACCCATCAGCACTCACTTCGGGGAGATGGCGGGCATTTTTGTTTAGCCTAGAGCTCGCTGTCGTACAACTGCACGAGAAACTTCAAGCACTACTCGCGATTACCACCACAAATCAATTGTCTTGTTTTGTAGTAGTCATTTGAGCTTACCCTTCACGCTCGCCACATGTGATGTGTTAAATAGATGTCACAGAGCGAGACAAAGAGAGAAATCACATTAGTGGTGGTTGATATCAGCAGACACCCATTGAAGAATGCTCCTATAATTTAGAGATAAGCGAGAACAAGAGAATTTTCTCTGATACTAGCCAGCACCTTGAAAATCTCGGCTCATTAGCTTAGTTGCAAAGCACTATTCCATTAAAAATTCACCCCTTGTAGCTCATCCCTATTATAAAAGTAATAAAACGCTTACTTCCAATTGACACCTCGTCTTTTCTTCATAGTTATTGTTGTGATGATACGCCACAAAACCCCGATGCAATTATAAGAGATGCCGCAGCAGAGGTCTCTATTTCTACCCCTCGGAGTTGTACATCGTGAATCTATATTTAATCAGGTGGGCATGTAGCTTGTTGTTTCCATAGAAATGCGGCCACTGCAGCCAGCATTTGATTTCGCGAGCTTCTGGTCGACAGCTTATTGAATATATTCAGGTTTATTCAATATCGACAATATTAGTTTACAAAAAATAGAGTTGCAAGATTTGTAATACACAAGAAGCCCCAAAGTTAAAAATTGTCGGGAGGGGGGGGGGGGGGGTCTCTTTTACAAGGTGTGATAGAAAAAAGAAGGTATACGTCATTCAGTGGTTACAGCATCTTCGGTGAGAAAGAAAATGAACACAAGTAAATTAAAGCACAATAACCACCACTGTGAGCATACCTTGTATTTTTTGTGAGCTATAGCGCTACCTTATAGTTTATAAGTATGTGATAGTTGTGTATGTGCATCATCGTGTCATCCTTTCATTCACCTGTGCTCTACGTACTCATACAGGGATGATATCACGTGCATAACCGGAACATTTTATGACTATTTTATGGTAGAGTGTCTCTAGTGCTATAAAGCGTTCACAATTCAATCAAAGCCACATAAAGAGAGCATCGTATGCACGCACAGATGTCAGGCAATGTTTTACCAAACTTTTTATCCGACTTCTACCTCCTTCTCTCTGAGAGCGTTTCCCAACACTGCCCCTCCCTTGTGAAGTAGCATGCATGAGCACAATAAGCACCTGGTGGTACTAATGGAAGGAAGGAACAGGAGAAAACAGAAAGGCAGGGATGTTAACCAGTGTTAACGCTACCTTGCACAGGGGAAAGGAATATGGCAGCTTTAAAGACAGGAAAAGAAAAAAAATGAGAGAGCACACGCACACATTTATGCTCCTCACAGTCGTTATAGCCCCGCCATTCTATAATAGAAGAAATTGTCACAAAAGAAGGAGGTAATTTCCTCCTCCTCGACTCGCTTCAACACTAGCTAAGGAGGGAATATGTTTGAGGTTCGGGATGGGTCCCCTCGATGACTCCAGTGCACGGTGGTAGCCCGAAGGAAGAGCCGTAGTCCGGTGAAGACACGCTTTATTGTAGCGTCAGGCTATATACTGCCCGAGTCCAAGCCCGAACATCCACTCTCTTTTCGATTCGAACATCTTCTTTTCAACCCTCGGTTGAACAAAGAGTCTTCACAAACACCAATCACATGTTGGGACTCGCATCATCACAACCAATCGCAGAAACACCTTCATAACAGGTACTACATTTGTTAAAACCACGTTACCAAATAAAACGTGCAAAGGGATAGGTTCTGCGCGTGTGACACTCTCTCCCATGCCAGGCCGTGCTGCCTCCGTCGGCAGCCGTTCTCACGCTCAAACCCCGTCAGTTCTCTCATTAATTGTTGCTTCGTAGAAGCCTTCCTAAGAGCGGTGGGTACACTGTTGGGCTCCGTGCGCTTACCAGGTGTGCATGCGACAGTGAGGCGCCCCGACATCCTAACAGCACTCGGTAATGACGTACAGCGGGGGAGGTTATGCTCGTCTCCCTGCCACCACTATGTCTCGGTCAGCCAAGTGGTCGCGTCCCCGCGTCATTCTCAATGGCACGCGTGCATGCCAACAATGGCTTAAACTCAGCCGGTGGCACCTGACCTGCCTCTTGCCAGACGCTTTTCCCAGTAAGCCTTGTCCTTCTAGTCCCGAACGGGGGCGACTTTGGCGGCTCCGCTCGTGAGCCGCGCGAACGAACGAAGAAGTCTCCTTTCTTTCCCGTGCTCGGATCTTCCGCGTTCGCCTTCGCGGAACCGATCAGCTTCGTTAGTTGACGGGACGGGAGCTGGCTACACGCTCTGCATCAGCCGCATTATTTTGCGCAACACGCCGGTAATAGGTGCCTCATACTAACTGAAGGGCTGGAAGAGTCTATGATAAAAATGATTTAAACTAATACACCAACCACTGTAGCCGACGAAGTGAAATAATGTCGTTGCGCACCTTATCTCGGAGTTGTCGTTGTAATTCCGGCAACATTAGGGCGGTCTTGAAATAGGTGAAAAAGTCGTGATCCCATTATTTTTCACGTGGGTTATGAGACCTCTTTTGGTCAAAGAAATTATGCATTATCTGCCTTGGCATCTTGTCTCATAATAAGTTGGCAGTTCCGGCCTATCACTCTTACTTAGGCGCTAAACTAAGCTTCATTTTCTTTATTGCTACTTTCAATAGGAGCACTCAATTTACACTCCTGGTTTGCAGATCCACCTGTGAATTATTCGACATATCTGTCCTATTCGTGACATACCTGCAGGAACGCAAGATCCCTTGATGCAGACTCCAGTTCTCTTGGTGTATTCTCCATCTTTGCTTCCATTGATGACAAGCTGTCAATGTGAACGACGCGCAAGCAAGGCATAGCATAATATTGTTAAACACTATCTTATACCGCCCCTGAAATCAATGGACTATTTGAGCTATACTGATAGAATTTAATTAAAGTTAGTACTTTCGACAATAGCTATTTTCTAATCGCAATATTAAATAAATAGAAGACACAAGATCAGACTCAAGCTGGAGGTTAGCGCTAGCTGGATGCCCTCAGTATAGCTCAGTATAATCCTGCTTCAGATACTCATTCACACATGTTCGAAAGCTATCCGTTGTAGCATTGCTTTAAGCAAAGTTTTTTTCATTCGATTCTACGAGAACATATGTTTATCCACAAGATGGTGCGTAACCACTGCAACAAATATTTCCACTGAGAAATAGTCGACATCATCATAGGCTATGCTTTCTGGCATCGCCAGTATTTCATTCGGTAGCCGCAAACGATAAGACGTCATATGCGCGGTGTTTATAGGCGTCATTTATTGGCACATTCGGAACACTTCCGGTAATACTTTCTAATACTCCATGCGGAGCAAGTTTATTCTCTTGGCAGATTGAGAGTGCTCTCTGTATGCTCCATTGGCAAATCGGGAGCAGCTGCTTCGCGAGATCTGCTCCACGGAGCAACGTTTTCTACTCCGCGAAAATTGGCGGATTCGACCGGAAGTCGCAAGTGCACCGTGTGTCTTGAAATGGTGCCAACTTTGGGCGCGCCAACGGACGCCGGTCGCGTCAATTGCGCTTCGCGTCGGAGCTCACGCTTCGATAGCGTAGCGTCGCTCTGCGCAGTGTGCCCGCTCAAGCAAGAAGAGAGACGCGCGCATCACGTTCTTTTCCGACCTTGCCATTTGCTCCAGATGGAGCGCGTGTGTTCTATGGTAGACTCCCTTCTGTTGCCCTCCGCCAGAGTGGAGTGCTCCGACGCAGAGTTCGTGGGTCACTCCGAATCTGCTAATTGATGACGCCATAAAACACTGTTCCTTCTCAGCGACGTAGATGATGCCACTGGTCAAAAAGTAGTTCTGCTATTGCGCTACCAGTTCAATATAATTCCATTATTCTGTAATTATTTGCTCTCTCTCTCGAACTAGCAAATGGCGCCTCGATGTCATGTCATCGGCTCACTTTCTGGCTGAGCTTGAACGCTTACAGACGTTTAGGGAAGGCTTTACAGTTGATTTATCACAACCCTACCTTTACGGCGAGAAATAATGAAGATGGCGTATAAACGACGCCAATGGCCCGGTTCTGAGGTAGGGCACATGAATTACTCTATAATTAATAGTGCTAGTAACGGAACTCTTTATTGATCTTTTTTTTTCACTCGAAACTAATGCTACGACTTTTATGGCATGGCAATTTAACAGTATACGTTCACCTACCACTTGTATTCGTTGTCTGCTTAAAGCGAGTATGGTGTTCTGGTTAATACTCACAGCACACAATCTTCCGTCACCCAGACTTGCATTGAACCACTTTTCCGTGGTCCGGTTATAACAACTTGCAGTGCAGCTAGCTGAAAACATTCAGCTGCGGCAATGAAGAAAAAATGAGACGAACTTGCTGTCTTACCTTTCTGTTAACTATAATAATAGCGATAAAATGGAATTTCAAAGCAAATCCTAACTTTAAACAATAATTTCACCAAAAGATTGTGCTTGCCATTAGACTTTAAAAAACGTAATATACATAGCACCAACTTAATTATAATATATAATGCCAACCTGGGCAACGCCAACCTCTATATTACCAAATTAATTATTTCTCCGATGCGCTGGCTTCAGAGAATAGGGGATACCAGTCTGTTAAGCTTGCGTAGTATTTCGCGTTTCCTCGCGAGAAAATTTATCGCGCCGAGTGTTGTTGATTTCTCATAATTATAAAAACGCGCTCACGTGAGAAAGTTATAGCAGGGCCCTCAGGCACTATAGACTACGTACGAAACAAGATTTGAGAACTGTATTTCAATCAAATCTCTGTCCATTATTCACGCATGAGGCTTGCATATGAGACGTCATAAAACTTCAAAAACTTTGGTTTTTTTTTTGGCATGCCTGCCTGAATTAAATTTTTTTCGCAGGCTGTCATCGTTTATTTATTTATTTATTTATTTATTTATTTATTTATTTATTTACAAACTACTGCATGCTCAAATCAGAGCCCATGCAGGAGTGAAAACAAGCACTTGTACAAAAACAAACACACAATCAATCAGTAGTCAATGCACGCAATGTACACACAAAATCAATACTCTCATACAAACAAGTCTACACGGCAATGCATATTCATTAACATTTTCACCACAGAAATCAGTCGCTATTCTTGCCAAGAATTCAAAATGGGGACGGAGGGAACCCCACAAGGAGCTGTCCTGTCTCCGCTGCTATTCAACATTGCCATAATGAAGCTCCCGCAAGCAATGGCAGTAGTGTAAGGAATATATCATGCAATATACGCCGATTATATAACAATCTAGACGAATCAGGGCAGTTTAGGAGAAATTGAAGACCGCCTGCAGCTGACCGCCTGCAGCAGGCCGCCTCCATTGTGGAGGACTATGTGGCCCAGTGTGGGTTGCAGTGCGCTCCAACCAAATCTGAATTCCTGCATATCAGAGAAAACAATAAAGATAGGACGACCCTGAACTTGATGGTATCAGGATCAAGAATATGAGAGGTTTCAGAACTACGAATTCTTGGCCTTCTGACTCACAACCGAACAACAAACAGCACCACGCCAGACAAGCTACGGAAAATTGGAGAACAGGTAGGGCACATGATCCGCCGAGTGTCAAACAAGCGCGGGGGGGGGGGGGGGGGGGGGGGCAAGAGGAAGCGACGTGATTCGGCTCGCCAATGCTTTTGTAACTAGCAGGATTCTATATTCAATACTTTACTTACGAATGACTAAACACGAAGAAAACAGAGTCGATGCTATTCTTAGGAAAGTAATTAAGCGCGCACTTGATTTACCCATCAGCACTTCAAATCAGAAACTCTCTGCATTGGGAGTCTTTAACTCTATACAAGAGCTCCATGAAGCCCACCTCACAAATTAATATACGCGTCTTACGCAGACACCCCCCGGGCGGCGCCTACTGGACCGCCTCTTGATCCGGCACGAATGCGAAATCGAAAACGTGGAGCGTATTACTGAACTTTGGAGAACAAAACTCTGGCTGTCCCCGCTTCCCCACAATATGACCAGGGAGGCGCACCAGGGTAGAAGGCAAGCGCGCGTTGAGGCACTTGAACAACGGCTTGGCTCCCGTAATGGGGCCTATTACGTCGATGTGGCTGGGCCGTCACTAAGGGGATACTACACGGCGGTGGTAATACATCAAGGAATGCAGGTGGACGGCCTCACTTTCAAAGCCACAAGCTCCAGTAAGGTGGAGGAGGTGGCCATTGCACTGGCAGTATCCGATCCAAACTCAAAACAAATAGTTACAGACTCTCGAAGAGCCTGCGAGAGCTATCTTGCAGGAGAAATCTCTCCATTGGCTAATAGACTTTTAAAATTCAGCATCAGGAACCGCGATCCTACCCCAAAACGTCTTATATGGACTCCGGGACATCAGGGTCTACAGGGTAACGAAGCTGCACATGCAGTGGCCCGCGTGCTTACTTCCCGGGAAACTCCCCGTTCCCCTGATAGACCTGAACGTCCCACACCTTTAACACGGTTTTGAGAAATCAAAGAATTGAGCAACGCCGCTTGTATCCTGCACCAGCGAAGGGACTTTCGAAAACGAAGGAGCGCGTCCTGCGGCGCTCACAGACAAACACGCTGTTCTGTCCAGCCATACTCAAATATTACGACCCAAAAATAAGGGGACAGTGCCAGTACTGTTGGGAAGTGGCCAACACTAACCATATGGTCTGGGCCTGCCAAATGAACCCAAAATTAACCCCCTTTCCCAACCCCACCGAAGAGGACTGGGAGACGACCCTGCTCAATAGTTCCACACTAGAGGAACAGCGAACTCTAGTCCAGCGGGCTCGAGTGGCGGCCTTGACTAATGACGTCCCGGACTAAGGATGTCCACCAGCCTGGTGGGGATAAGGGCTATCTGGCACAGCCAGCATCATTAAAGGTTTTTTCCTTCTCCTCCTTGCCAAGAATAAGTATATGTACACAAAACTATTTACACCAACACATACTCGCAATATAACACATGGCACAGCAATGGGAGTATTGTTACGTTAACACATTCATGTAAACGGCTGGAATTGCTAATACACGTACTTTCTGTACATACGAACCAAAATAAAAAGATAATGCTGAGGGTTGTGATAATATGACGTGTTGTTATATAAACTTTTCGGAGGTCATTTATGATAGGATACATAATTTGTCCCTCTTTGTTGGTTGTAAGCAGCCGTAAGGAGTAGCCAGCACGATTGCTAAGCGGCCACATAAGTAGAACAGAAAAGCCGTGTCTGCCGCATATTATGTTGCCCGAAGTCTTTCAGCAGCGCATCATACTTATGCTCTGCACAAGTGAACGTGGCTCGGTCTCTTACTTAAATACTAAGGAACACAATTCAATTCATTTTGTATTGCATTCTTGCTGCCACACACCGAAAAAAATGGAAGAGGCCCAAACAAAATGTGAAACACCATTCACTTGATGGGGATTCACGCCCTTCTTACAAGGCATACAGCAGGACAGTGAATGTGGTGGGAAGGAAAACGTACGAGACGCCCGCTTGTGCTAACAGATATATACCGCTTGGTTGTACATTTCGTGTTTTCGTCTTCTTGTGTTGTTGTGTTTTCTGAAAAATGAGCATTCTTGCTACGTGCGAGAAACCAAGTGCGATACTTCTTGAAATATTAGAGAAACAGTAAATATCTTATTCACATTTTGCGAATGAATGAAATAGAAATGATAACATCATGCGAACGCATGTTAGAAAAAGGCAGATAAGTCAGCCTCATTCAGCTTGATCTGGCCAGTTGTGTTCATTATCCAAGCATTACCAATAACGTTTTATCATAAAGGGACAGAGAGACATAGCGGTTTTTATTGAAATTTCTATAGCTTTTAGCCTTCTTTATCGCCCTACTTGCTACCTTAGGCGCCGTGTGGTGACGGTAACACAGATAATACTCTTTTAAAATACCCATTAGAGCTAAATCGTCCGGCAGTTATGAAAGACAAGGCACTCAAAGAGGCGAATATGTCGGATTTCATGCCTTTTAGCATCAAAATTCGAACATACTTAGCATGCCACAGATCTACAAAAAGTCCTGACTTATGCAAGTCATGAAAGACTTACCTGTGAATTCATCGCATACGTAGGGCCCTTGCAGTGATAGGCATATGGATCAGCCGCTATAGAAAGTCCAGAAAAACACATGAATGTGTATTATGCAATACTAAGCTGCTCTGAACTTCTATTTGTAACTCATTTTTGCGCTGTATTCATGTGTAAGTAATCGTGACGCTTAAAAGAGGTGAAGACAAACACGGAGCAGTAGCCGCGCCTACCTCCATCGTACTGTCTCATCGCCTTCCTGCTATGATACCTACAAACAAAAGGCTGTTAATTACGAGAATATCTCAGCTGGATTCACGGCCGCTTACAGAAGAGAAGATCCTGGGACCTTGGCCGACGGCTTCCCATACGCGCAAAGCCACGGAAGCCCTCTTGTACTTTTTAAGGACCACCAAACTTCACGACCGCTTGTGAAAGAACTGTCTATTTATGCGTCTCTTTCTTACTCCTTTTCTTTTCTGTCTCTTTCCGTTCTATTATTCCCTTTTTCCCCCACCCCAAGTGTAGGGTAGCCAACAGAGCCAAGCTTGGTTAACCTCCCTGCCTTTCCTCTCTATTTATCTCTTTCTCTCTCTCTCTCTCCATTTTACACCTCAATGATAACATAATTATTATTATTATTATTATTATTATTATTATTATTATTATTATTATTATTATTATTATTATTATTATTATTATTATTATTATTATTATTATTATTATTATTATTATTGCGGTTCTCATGTCGAGAAAACTATATGGTAATGAGGCAAGCTTTTACAGGAGGATTCGCAGCCATCGGCCACCTGCAATTCATTAATGTTAGCCTAAAATATAAATAATCCTGCCTTTAGCATTTCGGCATCCATCGAAAGTGCGACCACCATGACCCAGATCGAACACATTACAATGTGCGTCAGTAGTCAAGCATGTGGCTATTGCAGCCCCGCAGTGGCTTCCTACATATCAATGACAACAAAAGCTCGAGAAAAAATTCGAAAAGAATTTCATATGCGATTAGTAATTATTTGCGTAACAGATCGAACTGAAACAAATTTCTGGTACTAAAATGCTGACACACTAAAACTGACACGTGCTGAACAAGGCCCATATGAACTGTTTTCCATGCCGTTCTTCCTGTATCAATAAGTGTATGTTGCATGTCCCCGCTTTAACGCCCAAAAAGCAGCCCTCTCAGTAGCGCTAGGTTGGCTGGAAAATTGCCCTCTGAGAAAAATCAAAATTGTAGAACACTGGCCCACCCAAACGTCAACACCAGAGGCTACGAGGGCGTCGCCGCGTATTCTACGAAGAACAGGACTGAATGACATGTTGTGATAATCTACTGACTAGGTTCATGCGTTACTTTAGACAGATACATTAACATGAATTTGTAGTGTAGTTACCCACTCACTTCTCCTCTTTCATTCTTTCTCGCCCCCTTTCTTCTACTCCTCGGCAAGGTAGCCAAGCGGAGATTCACCCCGGTTAACCTCCCTGACTTTCGTCCACCTTTATGAGTCTCTCTTTTGTATGCATGTTTGTTAGCGCACACATTTACATCAGCAATTATTGCCAAAATGCCCACTGTATACTGCTGTTTGAACAAACAAAAATATGTAGAATTTCGCTCACCCAGTTGGGGGATTGCAACTTTCACAGTAGTGGTGTTTTTGTTGTCGCATTTTCCGCCATGACAGACACCCGCGACGATAGCTCGTCCATTTCCGCTGTCGTGCACTGAAACCTGACAAAAATAAAATTTCTTTTTCGGTGCAAGGCCAACCTCCGTTGACGCTAAAAACCCACCAAGTTTAGTTTGTCTACACAGGCCTTGCATCTACAAAATGTACTTGAGATAGCATAGATAAGGCGTACAGTACTTTTCAAAAAGCCGTTGTTGAAATCTTCAAATATTTCGCGCCCAACCACTTCATTTCTTTTTTTTTTGCTGAATTGGAAAAGTCAATTTTATTGATGACATCCACATGAGATATATATATATATACATATACATATATATATATATATATATATATATATATATATATATATATATATATATATATATATATATATATATATATGTGTGTGTGTGTGTGTGTGTGTGTGTGTGTGTGTGTGTGTGTGTGTGTGTGTGTGTGTGTGTGTGTGTGTGTGTGTGTGTGTGTGTGTGTGTGTGTGTGTGTGTGTGTGTGTGTGTGTGTAGAAAAAAAAAACTTGGGTTGCCGCAAGGTTATAAGTATAAAAGTAGATGCGCTTTCCCATAACAACTTGTTTATTCAGCCGACGTTTTGACGGGAGAAAAAGACGGGGCTCCAGGCGAAACGTCGGCTGAATAAACAAGTTGTTATGTGAAAGCGCATAAAATTTTACACTTATATATATATAATTTTTTATTTTATTTAAAATTTTTTACAGGCCCTTTACAGGGCATTGAGTAAGGGGGGTAATTGGTGAAATTTTTCAGATCACACAAAGTTAATTCACGCGTTACAAAGCGTATCAGCACAATGAAAATATGACGCGGTTTGCAATATAAGTTGAAGTTAACAGGCGATAACAAGAAATAAGAACAGGCGATTTTATAGTGCACACACGACAGTGGGAACCGAATACAGTCATTATAGCATATGAAGGCGACATCAACCAAAGATAGCCAGCTGGCTTTACCTCAACGACGTGCCGTAGTTTGTTTATAAGTTGCAGAACATACAATAGAAAAAGCACCAAAAACGCAGAACCAATGCCCATACACAGAAAACATTTCCAGTGTGCAACAAACATAATCGGGCACAAAATCCGACATTTAAAAAGAAAATGTGCAGAACAGTATATATATATATATATATATATATATATATTATATATATATATGTGTGTGTGTGTGTGTGTGTGTGTGTGTGTGTGTGTGTGTGTGTGTGTGTGTGTGTCAACTTTCTTAAAGCATGACACGTAGTGTTCCTCGCCTGATCACGCTTAACATTCGTTATGATCACATGACAGCTCGTGAGTCGATAAAACAGAGAAGTCATCAAAAATTACCGCAGTTGTCTAGGATACAGTAACGGGCACGCACAAGCTTGTCATCGTCTTTCTACGGCATTTTATTTTTCCTTGGCAATTGTTCACCTCAGCGTCACTTTACTCGATACGCTGACTCGCTTTCACTGCAACTGCAAAAGCATTTTATGAAAACAACACGATGTGATTCGGACCGTTTCGTTTTGCCTCGACAATAGCTCCATACCGCATCAGCATGAACAATTCAGCGACGGGCCTGAAGTTATGAAGCAAATAGTAACTCTACTCCAACTCTGTATTTTCTATGCCTCCTTGTGCAATAAGTTTGTTTCACGTCATTAAATATGAGCATAAAGAAAAAAACTATCAAAATCAACGATAGAACAGTTTCCATGCTACGATCACCTACTTAGACCAAGGGAAAAATAGGAGCAGCTGGTAATGTTTGCATTATTATGAATTGTGTCACTTAAGATGTGTCACAAACTCCGCCGTGGTAGTCTAGTGGCTAAGGTACTCGGCTGCTGACCCGCAGGTCACGAGATTAAATCCAGGCTGCGGCGGCTACCTATTCGATGGAGGCGAAAATGCTGTAGGCCCGTGTGCTCAGATTTGGGCACACGTTAAAGAACATCAGGTAGTTGAAATTTTCAGAGCCCTCTACTACGGTGCCTGCCGCAATCATGTGGTGGTTTTGGGACGTTAAAGCCCACATATCAATTAATTAACATGAGTCAATGATAAGTTTAGATGTGATTAATAGATTTAGCATGTGCTTATACCTTACCATGCATAATGTTCCATTCGGTACGGGGCCAGTTCCTTCCACCCAACCAGTTGACAAAGAGTTCACACCGTGGGAACCTGCAGGAGCAGCCATAGTAAAGTCGTGGTTTTCGTAGATCCATACTACTCAGATGTAGAGCTGCTGTTTGTCGATGCGTATAGCTGTACGGAGCACTTCGTAATATCAGACTTGCCGATTACAGTATACAACACACACACACAAAGCATACGTGCACGCATACACATACACAATAAGAAGTAGAATGGTAGAGACTTGGTTAAGGATTGAAGGGGCTATGATATGGCCATCCTGCTAGCCACAGCTTATCAATGTACCAGAAAGCAGGCAACACAACACATTTAGTGCTACCAACCATGTAGGCTTTACGAAGACTATTACTGAAAAATTACAGTTTGAAAGTGCTGTCTCTGAACTCTTCCAGCTGACTGTGATTTTGACATGCATGGCGAAATTCATGAAATCAAGAGCCACCGATCTGTAGACTACTACGGAACAGTGTGATACCACGCTGTAACTAGTCCTCACGCATTGAAACGTGGAAATTTATAACTAAACATCGTTCATACTTTTGTTGTCACCTACTTCAGCTCTTGGCAGAATGACGTAATTTTGCTTGAACATCTACATCACAGCCATCTGAATTTTAGCGGCCAGTTTTGCAGCGACGTCAAGGGGTGTTATCGATAAATCACGCATAGCAGAATCAAAACTGAAAACTTTAATGTCACATCTCAAGCAGACTGGGCTGCACAGATAGAACATGGTCGTTGATTTATGTTCGCTACTTCTACGCTTGCGTTATAAGAACCTGCAGCGAGCCTGCCAATGTAGCTCAGGGACACATCAAAACAAAACAAGAAAATTTCAAACGGCAGTCGCGACATCGATACTCGTAGCTGCTACGCATCTGTAATGTCCTAATGGCCCACCTAGAAATTCTGAATGAAAAGGGAAAAAAACTTTATTTAAAACCTGCAGATTAGCGGCCAGGCCTTCATAGGCCACTCAGGTGGTCGCAGAAAGGTTTAGTTTTTCCGCTGCTTCCCAGGCCTGCAGCATGGGTCAAACTTAGTCTTCAAATTCTGAGGTAGTCAGAGCATCGAGCCTACACGTGTCATAAGGGGGTCCGGATTTTGGTGATCGAAAAGCCGTGTTGTCAGTGGGCATTTCCAAAAGATGTGTTCTATGTCTGCGTATTTGTGCTTACATAGGATACAGCCAGCGTCGGGGAATTGTTCGGGCTAAATGCGGTTGAGGTACACTGGGTTTTAAAATGTTCTCGTTTGTAGGCATCTTCAGTCTACCTCTTGAGACCTGTCTAGTTTACTTTTGGATTATGTATGTATCTCCTTTTGTTTTTGCAGTAGGTCAATATGTCGTGAAAGGTGAGAAGCTCATCCTTATCACCAAACGCAGGAGCGGTCATTCTGGGTCAATGAGAAGGGTGTTCCCGGCTGCATTCTGTAAGCTCGCGCGTGGCAAGGAGCGCTTTCTCATTTAAGTTTTTCCGGTTATGGGGGGGGGGGGGTCTTGGAACTTTCTTCATTTTCTCCCATGTGCGCCGGAATCAATTTCAAGTACCTAGGCTTATAGCCTCCGTTCTTGAAGTCCTCTGCCTTGCTATTTACGATTCTGACCACTTCATTAGAGATCTACCTTCTTGTGTAGTTTTGAATTGCGGGTTCGGAGTCGCTAATAATTCAGCGGCGACTTCTGCTGAGTATAGCTAGTGCTATGGCCACTTCTTCCGCGGCTTCTGAGTGCCTGGTTTTTACGGAGCTGGCCGACGCTATCATTCCTTTTGTGTCGATCGCCACGGTCTTGAAAGCTTACTTTCCGGGGTACCTGGCCGCATCCACGAATAGGTAGTTCTCGTTCTTGCCATGGTTTTTCAGCATTGCTATCGTGCGACATTTCCTCCATTCCACGTTGTAGATGTGGTGCATGTTTTTTTTTTCTTTTTTTGGCAACGGTTCAGTGATAATATTGCCTCGTACGCGTAAGTTTAGCATGTGTTTGGGGCTCCTCATTTCGTGGTATTTCATGTTCAATTTCTCCATTACTTCTGTGCTCGCCCACGTGCTGGAGAGCTTTTCGAGTTGAACTATGTGCTGAGCTTCAACTATTTCGTCCGACGTGTTGTGGACTCCCCACTGCAAATATCTTTCATTGCCAATGTACGATGAAAGAAGTACGGCTGATGTGTAGGTCTTACTTATGAGAGCATCTATAATGTCCTTGTCCGCTTTGTTCCACAGGACGAAGAACTGTACGTACGTGATGTGGCTCGTTGCGAAAGCATGGACCATTGATGTTTCATTCCTTGATGCGTTTCCTTCTGTTAGTGACTCTTCGAATTATAGAAATCGCTGCCATGACTTTATTATTGAGGCGCACTATCGTCTCCTCGTTTGTGCCATTGGCCTCGAGCCAAAGCCCAAGGATCCGTATACGGGGCACGATCGCGATGATCCTTACCACTCTTAGTGGTCAGAGTGAGCCTTTGATGTGAAAATCAAATGTTCCCTTGGGTGGTCTTCCCAGCTTTCCGGGGCTGTACAACAAGAGGTCTGATTTCTCAGGAGAGCTCCGTAGCCCCGTGTTAGCTAAGTAGCTTTCCATTGCCTCGACCGCCTCCTGGAGTCATTTTATTTATTTTATTTTTTTTATTTATCATATACTGCGAACCATTTAAGGTCCAAGCAGGAAAGGTACAGCAAGTTCAAAGGTTAAATAAAAGTACAACAAAGTTACAACAAAATTGATACTGGTATACACGAAAAGTAAGAAAAACATAGCAATCACCATGAAATTATACTCCTTTCCAGAGGGCTGAGTACACCCACTGCAACACAATCCATAAGCAAAGCACCACACTCTTAGGCACACAACAAATTGTTAAATCAAACAAGTATTGTGAAAGCCAGGAAACACAAGGCGCATTTCATGGTGAAAAGGAAAGAAGAGTAGAGTTTCGGGGCAACAAATTCCCCTCAGTGTTCATGCTTCCATTTGTCCAGCGTAGGTCTTCCTAGTTGTCCAGATTGTTATTCCCTCAGCATATATTGCGCGATTGATTTACTTCGATGTTGAACTGCGAAATTTCTACAATACTGAATACAATCATATCATTTGAGGTTTCTCTACTGGGCGTGTGCTGCTTAACATTTCATTCTATATATACTTCAGCTGAAAGCATATCTCATGGCTCTTTTGTAGCAGGACCACCTCACACCCTGATATTAAATGGTTTATCAGAGCGCATGCACTAGGTCGATCAATTTTGACACAAAATGTGGCACTACCAACGCGGTGCTCACACATACGTATTAGTTAAAGGCTATATTCTTTCAAAGGTAAAATGTATGAAGACAAGCTGAATCGATCTCGTAATACATGCATACATTACCGCCGTTGGCATGACTACGCCGAAAGACGTCGTTCATGGGGCGGCCTACAGTTGGCTCTTCGCATATGCAGTCTTTCGCCACGGAGGTTCCCTGCGAAGTCAGTGAGGCATAGGAGCCTGGTTTGAGGTTCTGCAGCTCTTCTCTGATGTCATAAGCATTCAAAATTCTTTAAGGCTTCTACTCAGCTGTCATACTTGCGCAATAACCTTGGCGCACTAAAGACTAACATCCCGGCGATGACGAATCCAGTAAAGCATAATTTTTAACTTTGTTATAACGAGTTTCATTGGTTGAGCAGGAGCAAGGGGAACGAGGAACCAGAGCACCACATGGGGTCAGCGGAGACGTGTGCTCTCGTCTACCGAATGGAACTATTGCGTTGCTCTGAGGGCCGAGCTAATAGAGGGCGCGCGTAATGTCAGGCGTCATGTGACCAAACTTATCCCGCGCTCGCACGCCGGCTTCGCGGACATGCTTAGACAATCCGCACGCTTGCAATGTCCGGGCAGCACGGCACCTGCCCCCCACCCTCCCGGGTATAAAGTCAGAAGTTACGTAATTGATGTCCTTACTTCCTCCGCACTTTCTTTACTCCGACGCTGGCTGCGGAGCACCGAAAACTACCATCCAAAACTACCACCTAAATTTATAGGAAAAATGTTGAACAAGCAATACCTCTTTTGTCAAGGCGGCATTGAATCTATAATTTTAAAAATTTAGATTTTCTTCAAGAGTTCTTTAACATTAAAACCATCTCAATCTCGGAAACTTGATTAATGTCACCATTATGACCAATCTATCTTAACTATCGAGAGCAAAAGATCTATCCCTACTATCCCGATACGCTTTCTTTTCCCTACTGCTCTATTCGTACTTTTAAATCACAGCGTTTATAACGCTTCGAATGTTTACGCTTGCTGCCGACTTCTAATGACAGCCCTTTTAACGCCCTTAGCAGTGGTTCTTTATTGTTCTCTAACATCTTAAACACGCCGCGAAAATGGTACGAGCACTACAAGGTGAAAGACGCACTGCAGCATTGACACAGTGCGCAATTTTATTGAAAACTACGTAAACACTCAAATTCCAACTACTTATCACCTATGTAACTGCACCTGATGAAAACGTCAGAAGACAAGTTTCGGGATTTCAGGAAAATCCACCGATACACCCAAAAAAAACAACAACAGATTGCCTTATTGTGTTTGTGTTGGGCGCTGTTTAGCTCCTCCTCTGTTGGCTCCTCCAATGGGCACCATCTTTCCTTTTCTAATTCGTGAGGCTAAACGATGTCAGGTTGCTAAATTGCGTCATCCGTCAAACAATTCAGAAACTGATTGAACGGCTGCACACGGACATATACATCCTGTCTGGTTATAAATTACCGAAAAGTGAGTAACTCCTAAAAGTACTACCACAGTTGTGTAAATTGATCCATATTTTAAAAAAAATAAATTTTGTTCCTGCGTTGACATACTCATTTGGGCTCCCGATAGGTTGAGGAGTATTTGAGACATTTACGAAGTCAAACAACCCATGTCAATGGTCCCTAAACAAAGAGTGCAAAGTTAAACAAACGTCTCATCTTTTTGCCGTGAACAGCAGGCGTTGTCCTGCTGTACGCGGCACTATGTGGCGGTCCTAGTGACATACTACACAAAAACTAAACCAGCAATGAAACAGTATTATTGTGATATTGTTTAGTGGAACTTGGCGCGATGCGTTACACATAGTTTGTGCGCACTGGTTAAAGTGTACGGAAAGGGTACAATAATAACACGCGAAGTGCCACCTTTACAAATAGATTTATTTGTCTATTTCAAGCAAAAGTCTACAAAATTTTCGACGCGAAGCAGAAACTATAATATATATCCTGGAGCAGTTTCGACTCCCTAAATGTGAGTGCAACTTCTTTTCGCGTACTACAAATGGTGCACATGTTATTATATCATGAGATATGAAAAACTGAGATGGTTTCGCTTTAAAAATTATAAAAGTGTTTCTACCGAATCTGTGATTTTCGTATGCCTGAGCAACCACACGACGATAAGGCGTGCCTTTGCAGAGAAACCTGGATACGTTTTTACTCCTCGAGTTCTTACAACTTGCACCTAAATGTAGCTACACGGCTGTTTTAGGGTCGAAGCGCTCTAGGGCGTGGATCATTCCTTTTTAGTGTATGTTGTAGTAGCCACTTCTAGTTAGGTTTAAGAATAGCTCACTAGATGGCGTTGTGTATCTATGTCCTAAGAAATAATAGCACGAAATGGCATTGGTGGTTTTCGCATTAAGAAATTCACAGCATATCTATGCAGTGAATGAATTTGAGTGGGGTGAGCGTCCTTCCATCCGGCCATTCATCTGATGCATGCTTGCTGTAGATAGATAGGGACAGACAGACAGACAGACAGACAGACAGACAGACAGACAGACAGACAGACAGACAGACAGACAGATGGATGAACGCGTGGCCGGACCAATAGATAGATAGATAGATAGATAGATAGATAGATAGATAGATAGATAGATAGATAGATAGATAGATAGATAGATAGATAGATAGATAGATAGATAGATAGATAGATAGATAGATAGATAGATAGATAGATAGATAGATAGATAGATAGATAGATAGATAGATAGATAGATAGATAGATAGATAGATAGATAGATAGATAGATAGATAGATAGATAGATAGATAGATAGATAGATAGATAGATAGATAGATAGATAGATAGATAGATAGATAGATAGATAGATAGATAGATAGATAGATAGATAGATAGATAGATAGATAGATAGATAGATAGATAGATAGATAGATAGATAGATAGATAGACGGACGGACGGACGGATGGACGGATGGATGGATGCTTCAGCTTTCTCATCCCCATTCACTTCGTGGATATGCTGTGAATTTTTCGCATGGCATGCTCAATGAGATGTGATCGCTGGTTGAATCGAAATTATTTTGACACTTAACCTTCTAGCACAACCGGTCAGCTAACATGACCCACAACATAAAGCATCGCGAAAGTTTTCTGTTCTAAGTCAGAAAAAATAGACAAAAGCGCTTTGAAACTTACGTTATGTTCCATTAAAACGTAGGAAATCCGGCAAGGTCTGCTGGCAACAACAGAGCTTAGGGGTCTGCTTGTATTTGTGCCAGTTTCTGTTACTTCAGCCCCAGTGATTCTGTGTACTAAAAGTGTATGTAGACAGCAAGCTGGAAAAGTGTCATCAGTATTCAATGAATTTTCTTTTTATGTTGAGCTATCATTTTATTGTGAAGCTGACATCAATACTAGGGGTCAGGTAGCACAAAGAACAAGGCTGTAGGCACTAAGGAGTGAAGTTATGAGGCACATGAGCGCCAAAGACAAAAAACATAAGTGCCCACGTTTTGTGAAAAACCCGGTCTCAGGAGAAACGCCTCACATGCCAGGGAGGAATCATATCATGGGAAAGGCACTGTGGTTAACGCAAACAAAAGCATAAGTATGGCCTGTAAGCCGCGCGGTCGCGGACGAAAGCACAGGAAGCATTATGGTGGTGCCATGCGGTGACGTGTTTGTTGTCTAAAAGTTATGTCATTATTCAATGCGGAGGCAGTTATGCTAGAGGCTATATAATCTTGCTATGTTCCTTTAGAACTGAGAGGTTAAGGGTGGTACATTAGGATTCGGGAAAACTTGATGTCCGGGAATAGTGCCGATAATATTAGGTGATATCATGAGAGTACTGCTTGCGCTCCTAGATATGCCAGGTGACTGCAGTGGCACGAAAAAGGGGGTGAATGATTACCGTTATTATGTTACTCTCTGTTCATTGCTTAATCCTTTATTTTTGTACTTATATTTGTTTGCTTGATTTTTCATTCGCTCGCGCATCATTCAGGTGTTCGACTAAACCACAATCTGGTTTCTCTAAATACTCGAGAGCACAGCGGCTGACATTGGTCATGCATCTACGCAACAGAGTGGCACAAATTCATTGATACTATATAAGCGGCTAGAGTGTAGTGCCCTAAGCACGAGCTATGAGATCCTATAATATTGCATAACAGCGACAAAGAAGTATGATATGATGAGTAAACCATGCAGATAAGAGGGCCTACTTTGATGACATTGCGTCCATCGGTACGCTGGCTGTGTTGTCTCAACGCATCCCTTCCTGGCCATTCCATATATATCATAACTAGACATACATAACTGAACTTGAGGTACTGGCTCAATGCCGTTTCATTAAATGGTGTGCACTTCTTTTCATTCCTTTCATTAGATGGTGCACGCTTTATTTCATTAAATGGGTGTGCACTTCTCGCCCTTAACGCTAGACAACACACTTTTCTCACCAATTGTTCTTCTCTGCACTTAACACTTATCCGAATGCCATTACCGATCGCAATTCAGGCGAATAATACGTTGTAGACTTTCTAAACTTCCTATTGGTATTGAAATTTTCGGACATGCTCTGCTTGCTGTTAATAGTGTGCTGGTTTTAGTTGGCGATCTGCATTGCTGGAAAGTTCACGTCACTGTAAGGATGAGTGAAACGAAAATGACAATAGAATGCCCTTCTAGAGTACTCGCTATACCATTAACTCTCAGCAATCATAGGCTGCTAGTTTTGTTAAGCACAACACTTCGATGAGCTGTGTTCGCTCCAAGTGAGGATTACGAGGCCTACAACTGTAAGTATGCGAAATCATTCGTGAGTAGACATACTCGAACTCACTCGCTCGCAGATCGAGCAGTGAGCCTGCGTGATTCTGGATAAGTAATATTTTAGTGAAGTTTGACCGAGTCCCGTTGAAGAACATTTTCGTGAGTGAAAGTTCGAGGGAGTCGGCGCAGAAAAATTTTGGTGAGTCTGAGTCTGAGTGAGTCTGAGTGGGTTCCACTTCTTTTTTGCCAATCCAACGCACAGCTTCTTTGCATGCGAATCACCACAGCAACGCTTGACACGACAAATCACAAGAACGCGAAAGCGAGGCTTACCTTGAAAGAAGTAAAACATGGCTGTTCTATATTTAACAATGTCCAGTGGATGCACTAGTATCGCATGTTGTAAATACAGAAGAGCTAGTCTAGATGTCGTTTGCTCTGCTGAACGTGAAAACTGCAGTGTGGCTATACAGATTACGGGACCACTGCAGTAGCTTGATTCATTCTCGACCTGTCCTTTCTTGTTATTTATTCTGCCATTGCTGCATTGTCTTTCCAAGCCTGGTCACTGAATCACTGCCAAGGTAGCTTCGACATAGGCTTATAACGTTGCTGGGGTAACTGTCTCGAAAGAACAAGTGAACGAAATGTTCGTGCAAAAGAAACAAACCTCTGACGCAGCAACAACATATCAGACTAAACCCAACGGCACCCGGCACTGTACCAGAATACCTGTTCAACGCCTCGTATATTCGTTCCGCTTGGACGCGGGTGAATTTATCCTTTTCTGCGAATGTTAACCAATCACCTATTGTCCGCATCTGTGCGTTTAATGCGCGTAGCTGTCATGCGCCAACAAAAGCCCACGTTGCAAGCCCTGGCTCCGCGTACCGCAGCTGGTGACAATACGTACGGCACTCAGATTAGCACGTAGTTCTGCCTTTTGTTGTCTACTCGTATTTGACTCACGGTCACCCCGAGAGTTCTTCAAGACGCTCTCCAATCACAGCCAGTAGTTAACTAGTGTTTTATAGACGGCAACAATACGAGATAGAGCTACAGCTATACTTAGTGAATATCTTATTTGTTAAATCCATACATTCTACGTATGCTCAGTAAGAGCGTTCACAAATACCGTCCAATAACTGTGCAGTTTAACACAATGGGGCAGCTGGCACTGAAGCACTTTACGGTTACCCTTGAACCTAGTTGTCAAGCGAATCAACGAGAGTTCAAGAAGCACAATAAATAAATCCCACTTTCAAGACTTTCCAGTTTATTAAAACGCATCATACAGCTACAGGCTTTGAATGCAATGTGTTTGGTTATGTTTTCGAAAGGTCAAAATAAGGTTTAAGTATAGTCCCTTTGGCAGAAACGCATAAACGGCATGCAAACAATATGTGCGTCAGGAATGGACATTCCTTTTCCCAAGTTGGCGCACCACATTATGAACCTGTATAGTTAGCACAATAAATACAGTTTGTAGCTTATTTCACAATGAAAGAAGGGGCTCACGTGTTCTCTTGTATTTCTTTTTTCAACCAGTCGACAAAATTTCAGTGCAAGAAAGGCGGTTCACTTCAGCGGGTTCGCAATGAAAATGTTCATGTTACCGTCAGTATATGACAACCTAAGCTTAATGTAGCCTGTATTGTGTGCTGCCAAAGTAGCTGCATGCAAGGTACATTTGCCCCAGAAACGATACATAAACGTTCAAGTTTACTGGTGTCAAAAACTGTTTATTTACAGCAACATATTTCACAGGCCGAGGACATGAGAATTCCCATACTCTACCCGACCGCAAAACTTCCATTTCCACTGACCTTAGCCATTTTACTTAGATTCTAGTTAAAATTGAGCCCCTTGTCTCTCTTGTACTGCGGGTTTAGCAGAGCATCACTCTGTTTATTTTTTAAACTCCCGCATTTTGCCCTCGAAACAAACGGCCTGCGCACTTCTCAGTCGTCAGTTGTAATGTTCATCGAATTCTTCCCAAGCGTGCAGTAACCGTTCCTGCAAACGCCAGTTCTGTACACTCCCGTTCTTTTTCTGAATTTCTTGGTCTTCGATGTACGACTGTACTCCAGCTGAAAGACAAACGAAAAGGAAGATGTAATTCATTCATTTCATTTACGTTCATGCACGCGTAAGTTTTGGTGATGAGATGACACAACTCAAATCACTTATCAGCAGTTCATATTAAAGAAAAAAAAGTTGCTTCGGGGTAAACGCGTCTGGATTTGTTGTTGTCATTGTCGCTACTTTTATTGTCAATATTGTTATTGTTGACATTTCTATTTTGCTTCTTTCCTGTTTCTCAAATGAGTACATTTTAGCGCAGGCAGAAAAACTCAAACAAAAGAAAATGGCTGCGTATCCGCTTGCTTCGCTGCAAATGTCAAAAGGCTTCTGCCGGCCGATTTTTTTGTGCATAGCGTCGCATTATGAGCGCAGCGTAAGAAACGCTAGGGTGTTTAGAATAACGTATCTACGTACTTTCTAGTAAAGAAACGCACCACCTAATACTTGCGTATTGATGTTGTGCGTCAGCTATAATTAATATTAGCTTTTTCATTACAATTATCACAAGTATGTGAATGCAGACACCAGTTCAATTTAGCCGGGCGTTCAACAAGCGCTTAAACTCAGGCCAGGTGGCTTAATCATGGGCAGGTAAACAGACAGACAGACCAAAATGTCTGCTTCGAAATATCCAAAAAAAAGGCTATCGTCTTTAAAGTCATCCTTAAAAGATAGTACACAGGCCGAGTGGCGTTCAGGAGATGTCTCCTTCCTGTATCTTACGTTTTCGAGACTGTAAATCTCAATCGTGGTTTCACGCTACCTATTTACGCGCTCAAGAATGCACCAACTTCACCAAAGCAAAATGTATGCCTGAGATGGGCAGACCGCCTAAAAATTAAAGCTGGATGACGGACGTGTGACTCTACAGGATCCAGTAAGGGAGCAGCTGTAGGTGTGTGTTACGGTGTATGAGCGTTCGTGTATGATTTAATGTTATCAATAGTACAGCAATGTCGAGGTCATCTGGCATGGAGCTTTATCGGCAAAGAAACATGTATTTTCTAGAAATGCGCTCCTTGATATCACTTCTTTTATTATAGTGAGTTTACGGTTACTGTTTCGCGACGTGCAATAATTATTGTAGTGATAACCATAACGCCATTATTCCATGCACGATGACGAACACATGGGCCCGCCGCGGTGGTCTAGTGGCTAAGGCACTCGGCTGCTGACCCGCAGGGCGCGGGTTCGAATCCCGGCTGCGGCGGCTGCATTTCCGATGGAGGCGGAAATGTTGTAGGCCCGTGTGCTCAGATTTGGGTGCACGTTAAAGAACCCCAGGTGGTCAAAATTTCTGGAGCCCTCCACTACGGCGTCTCTCATAATCATATCGTGGTTTTGGGACGTTAAACCCCACAAATCAATCAATGACGAACACATGCTTGTTCTTCAGCAATATCGATAAACAGATAGCAATATATTCGCATTTACACTTATCAGTCTGCCGAAGATTTTCAAAGCATACGCAGAGAGACGGAAAGGCTTTTAGATGCGGAAGCATCTTATACTCGCGCCTTGTAGTGCGCGGTCCGCGCCGTCCGCACCGCTTCTCGAACATTCGACAGCTGACGCGCGCGCATGCGCCGTCGCGCCGTCGCCCACCATCTGTGCCGCGCGCGCTTCTCCTTCGAGAACATTCGACAGCTGACAGCGCATGCACCGTCGCGCTGTATATATACTCAAGGTCGGCGCTCACTCGCTCAGTTGCCGCTCGTCGGTTGGTTTGTACGGCGCGTCGACGTCCAAGGTCGCGGTGAAATGAATTCCAACGAATCCACAAACACAATGATCGACGTCCCTTCGACCAGCGCCGCCCTTTCGCATACGTGTGTACGTGTTCACTCATTTAACACCCCCTCCTACAACCACGTTAACCAACTTAGCCATCGACCCAAGTAAGTCGCAATTTAACACCCCATTTCACAACCACGTTAACCAATTTAGCCATCGACCCAAGTAAGTCGCACTTTAACACCCCGTTAACCAATTATATGCTCCGCATCCTCCTCAGTGTTCCCCCGAGGGAAGCTGCGGGCAATTTTTTTCATGGGTTGTTGCTTTTCTTTACCAGAAGCCTGGAAAGGTTTCTGCGAATCATGATTATCTCAAGAGTACTGTCACCTTTTGTAATAGTCTTCGTTCTCGTGAATACTTTTTATTCTTTGTTCATATGATTATTGTTTTTTGTTGTTTTGACATCGGTGTACAAATGCTGTATGCGTGCGTTGACCGTGTCCACTTGCATTCATTGAAAGATTCAAAGCTTGAGTGCTATTACAGTGACGGTCATTATGCCTTCTTACACCCTCGCTTCAGTCGTTATATATTTTGCAACGAAGATGTCTTAGTCCTGATCGGATAAAGCAGGGGATTTTCCATTAATGTCACGCTTACACGAACGAAGTCCCTTATAATATACGACGAAGTATTAAAAAATATCCAAAGAAACTTATTTACGTTTATTCTATAACATTTAACTGGGTTTCCCTAACCATGGGTCCATGGCAAATCACGGTGAGCTAGCTGCGCAGCGCGCTGTGTACACCATGCAGAAATGAAAATGCTCACCAAGCATTTCACACCGTCCTCCCGATTTTCGAATACGTAGTAGCCGCATTCAATCTGGCACGAAGCCGCCACGATGAGCTGTAACAACAAAGCAAGCTCTCACAAGCATGTACGCTTACGGCAAAAGAAACCTTCACTCATGCAGCACGCTTTTCAGACAACTGTTTTTGCACGAAAAACTGAAATGAAAGACAGTAACTTGCACTTTACCTTCACCTGCCCATTTTTTTCTTTTTTTTTGGTCTGGAATCGCGTGTATTTTAGCCGACAGTTGATTGATCGAAAGCGCTATTCACGATTAGCACCAACTAGAAGATAATGTATTCTATTACTGGTATTTCACGCGCAAGCCAACAAAATGGTGGGCATTAGAGTGCATAACTTAGTTTGAGAGTAATACGTTTTCAGGATAGTATTGAATTGACACACTACTATATGTTAAACAAGTAGGCATCCTAGGTGCGATAGTACTTTACTTTTCCCCGAAACTATATGCGGATACTGCATGAATCCGAACACCTTTATCTGTCCAAAGCGGATCTTCTCGTGACAAATTTAAAGCTTCTGTTTGTGCTTGAGTGCTTGCATGGCAATAAAAGTGCACCATGGTATCGCACTCACGAACAAAAAGTGTAACTACAGGCTCATGTTCTCGAGGGCAATCGCGTCAGCAGTCGGATAGCTGCACTCGAATTTTCTTGAACTCCGTGGGTGCAAGCCGATTGCACAGCTACGTATAATATGATCATTTGCATGCAAGACATGCTATGCCTCTATGCGTGAAGAATAAAAAAAGGTAGCAGTCAGTGCTATCACTTTGACAAAATCTACATTGAAAATGTGCATGTTGACGGGTTAACGCAGAAGAAACGTAATGAAGGCCGTCAACAACAGGGCAAGTAGGGGAACAATCCGCTTCGTTCTCACACTTACACGAGCATGTATGACAGTCACATAATCAACAATCTTGCAGTTATACAATGCTGAACTCTTCAGTTTGTGTGGTGGTGGGTAGTCTGGTCCTGTAAAGCAAAGAAAAGGTGAGATTAACACTTAACCACCGTAATTTGAAAGTATTTACACCCTGCGGTGTAGACGTTGAAGCAGAAGCCATATGCTTCTTTCAAGTAGATGTATTCACACTATCCCGCCACCCTTCAAGCTTTCTGCATCTGATGTGGTCTTGCACATCGTCGAAGATTAGAGGCACCTTTTAACAAGCTGTGATATCTTCTGATGATATCATCATCTGGCGTTACGTCACGTTACGTGGCGTGATGTCATGGCATGATGATTTACTGCATCACTCGTCCACCATGTGGAACGCTGAAGGTCAAAGTTAGCGTTTCATGAGGCATCTGACCACCCTATTCAAAAACGCTCCTCGACTTGACTTGCCACCACCTTCAATGCACCACAATAGCGTTTCAAGGTTACACAAACGCATTTGTGCTGTCAAATAAACATGACGGCACCTATGGGCGCAATTTCCATCTGCATCGATCTTGTGTCGTCGTTCTGCGCTGATTGATTGTGGGGTTTAACGTCCCAAAACCACCATATGATTATGAGAGACGCCGTAGTGGAGGGTTCCGGAAATTTAGACCACCTGGGGCTCTTTAACGTGCACCCAAATCTGAGCACACGGGCCTACAACATATCCGCCTCCATCGGAAATGCAGCCACCGCAGCCGGAATTCGAACCCGCGACCTGCGGGTAAGCAGCCGAGTACCTTAGCCACTAGACTACCGCGGCGGGGTGTCGTTCTGCACTGTGTCTCCCATAAATTCTCAACGCACGCGTTAATTTCCTTTGTGTTCACGTCTTGAAGCTTCGATAGCAATGTTTTCGTCCGTATTTTGCTCTTTTTCTACATTCATTCTCCGATTCTCGGAGACAAAGCTTAGGAGGCATGGCTAAATAAACGAAGCTAATCTCCTAAATGATGGCTGTACATACCTGATGTCTTGTCCCCAGCGTGAGAGGACACGAAGCGGTAACTGATTTCACCATTCAATTAAGGCTGTGACGACATTGGGCGAGTATCAAGCGTGAGTTAGCATCGAAGCGGACGGTCGCGTCTGCATGGATGCTGCTATGTTGGCTTCTGAATCCAGGCACAAGAGCTGGGGATATGTCAAGGAAACTCAGAAAGGCAGGGATTTGGCCAGAGAAGCTGATCGCAGAAGGCTAAGCCTCATTACAGACCACACTCCACCAACGCGAGTGGGGAATAGTATCAACCAAGATACGTGCCCGGACTTAGCGTTCGTTAAAGGTGTCAGGGAGGCCCGATGGAAAAACGGCGGGGAAACGCTTGGCAGTGACCACTGCATTTTGCGTATCCAGATAGAAACCCTCCCGGTTAAGAAACGACATGACCTGGCTCGCCTTACAGACTGGGAAGCTTTTAGAAAAACTAGGGCAGAATTCGAGGATAAAGAAATTGCGGACATTGAGAGTTGGGTCTCGGGAATCAAGGCAGACTGGAAACGATTAACGCGAGAAGTTACCCTATCTACAAACACGCCCGAGGTGTACAAACATCTCCTACAGCTCCGGGACGCCCGCCGGGGCCTATTAAGAAGATGGAAGCGGCAGAAACACAACCGCAAACTGAGACTTAGGATCGGCGCAGTCACCAGGAAAGCCGAAGAGTATGCGACGGAGCTGTCAAGGCGCAACTGGGACCAAAAATGCAACGAGCTACAAGGTACACTAGGTTGGAAAAGGACATGGGCCTTGCTGAGGGCCCTCATAGACCCAATCACGACCAAAACTGAAACCTGTAAGATGACTCAAAAGATTGCACACCAAATCAAAGGCACAGACCGGGAACTGCTAGAATACATAAAGCTGCGCTATATTGGCGATACAACGAATACTTACTGCAACCTGGCATACACTGGTGCAGCTAATCCCACTCTGGACGATCCCATCACCACAGAAGTTCGACATGCTATGCTGTCAGCAACAAAGAACACTATGCCAGGAAAGGATGGCATCAGCAACGCTATGATACGGAACCTCGATGTCAAATCTATCACAAGGTTTACAGAATTCATCAACAAACATTGGGAGAAGGGTACCGTTCCAAACGACTGGAAACATGCGGAAATAATAATGATTCCAAAGTCTGGAAAGGCTCCAAGCTTGGAAAATTTAAGACCCATTTTGTTGACTTCATGTTTGAGAAAAGTATACGAGAGAATCGTGCTTCAGAGGCTGGAGACCTACCTGGAAGACAACGAACTCATGCCGCACACCATGTTTGGCTTCCGAAAATGCCTCTCAACACAGGACGTCTTCCTAAAAATCAAGAAGGAGGTGCTCACCGATGTCCCAAAATAAAGCGAAAACGTACTACTTGCACTGGATCTTAAGGCTGCTTTCGACAATAACAGTTATAGGGTTGTGCTAGAGGGGCTTAGCAAATTAGGCTGTGGAAAGCAAATACACAACTACATCAAAGCTTTTCTCAGTAACAGAACCGCCAGAATTGGTATAGGAGGCATCCGCACTGATACGTTTGATACGCCCACAAAAGGAACACCCCAAGGTTCTGTGATATCGCCGACGCTGTTCAACATCGTTATGATCGGCTTACCTCGGAACCTAGAAAACATTGAAAGACTCAGACATGCCATCTACGCAGACGATGTTACAATCTGGGTGATAAGAGGATCTTTAGGCCAAAAACAAGATCTTCTGCAACGCGCAGCTGATACAGTTCACGACTACATGCGTCAATGTGGCCTCGCCTGCTCTCCGGAGAAATCGGAAGTTTTGAGAGTCTACAGACGAAGATACGATCTGCAAAACTGCATAGACGTCTATATAGAAGGAAAGAAGATTCCAGAAGTGTCCCGAATCAAGATTCTCAGCATGTGGATACAAAGCAAATGGCGTATAGACCACACCATCAGACAGCTGTCAAACACTACAGCGCAAATCACGGGGATGATCACCATAATCTCCAGCAAAAGACGGGGTATGAAGGAGGAGGACACTTGTAAACTTGTACAGGCCCTCATGGTCAGTAGGATTGTATACAGTGTGTCCTACCAAACACCACTCCCACAGGAAAAAACACAATTAGAGGCAATCCTCAGAAAAGCCTACAAGTGCGCCCTTGGTCTACCTGTCAGCACCTCGACAGAGAAATTCCTTAAACTAGGGATAAACAACACAGTGCAAGAACACATCGAGGCGCATCTTGTTGCGCAGAAAATGAGATTAATGTTGACTGCTACGGGCAGACCTACGTTGCAGACAGTGGGCATGAGGGATGCTTGCGGAGAAATCAATAACACGGCGAGCATACCAAAGGACATTGGTCAGATCATTGAAGTCAGCCCAATACCTCGAAACATGCATCCAGAAATCCATAAGGCTCGAAGAAAAGCCAGATCAAAAGCACAAGGAAAAAATTTCAAGGTGAGAACCGACGTATTGTACGTTGACGCGACCACATACAGAGAGCACTCTGGGACAGTTGTAAGCGTTGTTGATCACCAACTTACGTAAGTCAACAGCCCTTCGATCAAAAGCAACAATATCCTCGAGGCTGAGGAAGTAGCGATCACGCTCGCCATCACAAACCAGAGCGAACAGTTTACTACAGATATAGTTACTGACTCGCAAGAAGCGTGTCGACGGTACAGCAGTGGACGCATATCTAGTGCTGCCATCCGCATACTCAAGGGAAAAAAATCAACTTCTCGAGCTGCTCCATTACGTGGACACCAGGCCATGAAACTGACAGGAACCAGCGTGCCGACGCCATTGCCCGAGAATACGCCGACCGGGGGGCGCACAACGACGAGGAACCAGCCACAGTTACTAGGCGCTATGGAGCAATTTTAGAACACCAGAGAGCCCTGAGGAGGATATACCCCCTCCCCACAAAGACCTCAACAGAGAGCAGTCGATTGTCTGGAGACAGCTGCAGACTAATACGTAGCCCAATCTCAGTCTTCTGAGTAAAATCTATCCGGGAATATACACCAACAAATACCCGCTATGCAGAGAACACCCCACACTTTACCACGTGACATGGGCCTGCCAACACACACAGGTAGCGCCAAGAAACTGTACACCAACACCGGAGCAGTGGGAGGCTGCGCTGTCCTGCTCTAAGCCTGAAGAACAGCTCAAGCTGATCGACAGAGCTTGCACCAAGGCAAAGGCCACAGGGGCCCTAGACTGAGGGATCCACCTTCACCGGAAAAAAAGCTATTTGTAATAAAGTTTTGCATTCCATTCCATTCTAAATCTAGCTACCGGCGCTCACGGCCATGGCCCACGGAGTTCGCGTGAGCAACTGGCTGGGAGGAGGCCAGTTTATGGTCACGTGATGAAACATGGCAGCGGGGCGCTGCTGCAGAAAAGCTTCTATAAATAGGTTGCCGTTTAAACGTTGGAGGAGGTGCTCCGTCGTGGCTGAGTGGCTAACGCCTCGCACTCACAAGAGGAGGTCTGACGTTCGAATACGTATGCCAAGGTTTTTCTGAACAATTTTTTTCTTATGTTTTCATATATATATATATATATATATATATATATATATATATATATATATATATATATATATATATATATATATATATATATATATATATATACAAGCGGTGAATGACGGCGACGCCAACGCCAGTTAACGTTGGTGGTCAAATTCAGCCAAGAGTGCCCATATAATTCTACGGCAATGAAAGATAGCCTTTGAAGCGGCTGTAGCTTTTGCTTTCGAGGCATTTAATGCGAATACAGAAGATACAGAAGGGACCATGTAAAATTTAGTGGTGAAGCTCCTTATGCCGTGGTTCATGCGTCCGCGATGTGGGAAGTAGTAGTATCGCCGTCGTAGTAGTAGTAGGTAGCCACCTATCGTTTAGTTTTTAGAATGTCTGCTAGATGGCGTTGTTACTATATGATGAAAAAATTTGCAGATCCCACGTACAGTGAGATTTGATGATATGCGAAGCACAAATAAGGAACTTTGATATGTCACTTT